GGGGGGTAAGAAAAGACCGGACACGAGAGAGCGGCGGAAATCGAGCCTTGGATTGAAAAGGTTAAAGCTAATCTTCTGTGACGCTTAACCCTTTAACTCCCAGATCAAATTTGTCTTTCTCCTAAATGCCAACCATACAATTCTTATAATGTTAGGTCAGAGAATTTGGTATTGGATCAACTTATTATCCCCAAATTGATATTTTTCTTTATTCGCATCATTTATCTGGTTGATATGGTATTGATATTGTAAAGAGAAATTCTGTCTTGGTCACTCATGGGAGTTAAAGGGTTAAGTTGACATAAAACTTTTGGACTTTGCTTTCTTTAATATCTAGCAGTTTATGACAGTTTTAGATTGCACACTTCTTTCACTTTATTTTAGGCTCACATGTTGAATGTTTGTGTTCACGAGCTTTTGCTTGCGACCCTTGCTGATGAGAAAACAATCCACCTCGATAACGCTTTGGAAGATGGCACACGTACCCACATAAGTTCTATTCTAAGCAGTTGCACGAGTATCAGTGGACCATGGGGTAGGTGAATTTTGGCTTATTAGAGAGCCTCTCGATTGAATTTCGTAAATCTGCATTTGGTATATTTACTTAGATGTCTGCCACTTCCCAGTACTTTCTTCCTTCTTCCCCTCCCCTCCCTTTACTTCCCTTCACTTCTCATCATCATCATCATCATCAATCTTTATTTATACACGAAATCATATCATTTTACATGGTCTTCCTAAGAATCGTGTTTAAATTATACTAAAATACTTTAAGAACTATTGACTATAATGTTAAACATACAAAAACAAAAACTTATATCATTAGTAACAAGGAACTATTTACCATAATGTTCAAAATACAATACAACACTTCTCTCCCCTTCACTCCCTACTCTTCCCTCCCCTTCCCTTTTCTTCCCTTCTGTTCCTTTTCCTTCCATTTCCATTCCTTCACTTCCCTTCCCTTTACTCCCGATCCTTTCCTTTCCTTTCCTCCCCTTCCCTTCTGTTCCTATCTCTTCCTGTCCATCACTTTCTTTCTTTCTTTCTTTCTTTCTTTCTTTCATTTTCCCTTCCCTTTTTTTCAGTGAAATCTATTTCTATATCCTATAAACGCCTCTGTTGGTTATCTTCCTATTAGAATGTTCCAGTTCTCATCTATACTAATACTTTTTCTAAATACTAGACGTTTTAGGATTCATTCATTGTCTCGAAATTCTTGAAATATTCCCCATTCTTAAAACATCTCATTTATTCTTTCAGGTAAATATACCGATATCCCTTGCAGCACGTCTTCATGGATAGCTAATGACCATCCTAGGAAGTGGTTTGTTGTGTGTGTTTTAGAGGCCTGGCATCTTTCTGGTGCATTAAAATCTGGATCATTTGCTGTTCTTTGTGAGTCGATCAAAACTTACTACGAAACTACCTCTACTGGGGCTGATACCATTCCTGAGGTATTTTTTAATGGTACTTGATTTATATTCATTGAGTGCTGAAAGAAATTTTTTTGGATAAGAAATAAGTTAACTTTTCCGTTAAAACTCTCTTACAGCACTTTCAATTGACTTCTCTCTCCCTTTCCTATTTAAAGTTACACTGAGCGAAATTTTTTATTCGGTTTTTTCTTTTTTCTTCTTCTTTTTTTTTTTTTTTTGTACAAATTTTTTGAATTGGCCAGGTGCAAAGTCGCTCTAGTATTATTTTTTAGTAATGAAGAATATTTCGCATCAAAGGCCTCTCACTTCACCTCGTTTAACGACGAGGCTTCGGCCATCTCGGAAATATCCTTTATCGTGAACTGAATGTAGTATTTTATTGTGCAGATGTTAGCCAGGATCTCCCTGGAGATCACTCTTGGGCTCTTAAAGGCAATTACCGGAAATCTTTACCTGGCATGTCAGTACTGGTTGCAAGCGCTTTCTCATTGCAACAAGAATTGCCTGTTTGGCTTGCAACGGCAATTGTGTTGCATGTTGCTACCACAAGGGAGCGAATCTTTAAACTACTTGCAGCATTTGAGCCAAGACTTGGATACAAATTCTTCTGATGAGCCACAAAAGGTGGAAGACGTACAGGAACTGTTTCGGCATTTCCTTGCGTACTACTACAAGGCTATACTGATTGAAATCTGGTATAGATGCCCTGATGTATTGAGTATTTTCACTTGCAATGGCAATATAACAGTCGAAAATGGGGATTGCACAAGCAATGCCGAAAATGGGTCTAATGCCTCTAACGAAGCGCCTTTAGACTCTTCAAAGACATTGTTACCGAAATGTGCGTTAAATATGTTCGAGAACTCTTCGGTGATTTCCGAATATAACCGAACTAATAAGGAAGAATCAGTTACCGAAAGGGGCGTTTATGGTACTATCGGTGACGTCGTCGGCAGCGGAGCGTATGAATTAAAGGAACCGTTATCGTCGACGAAACGTAATCGAGCTCGGAAACAAGACATGATGACCACTTTAGAAAACTTGAAAACTTTTCTGCTATCAGAACAACACATGAAAATAAACTGTCTGAGAGAGATTCTCACTGACATTCGAAAAGCGATATTACTGAAGAGATCAAGACAGCTCATGGAGGCGATTTCTACTGACAGCAAAGTAAGCCAAAAGAAGAAGAAAATTAAAACATCAAGTGATCATCTTACTCATTCCAGTCAACCGCAAGGCTTTTTGCCGAGCCGTGGTGAAGGGGATCTAACAAGCGAGACAACCAGCAGGGGTAGTTCAGTTGACCCTGGAGAGTTTACACAGACCACATCAAATGAAGAGTTTGGTTTTGGTGATACTGTCTACTCAGAGTCACGGCCGGAGGAGACTGAGAAAGAGCCAAGAGGCGATGGTCTTTCGGGAAGTGTGAGGGATGAGGAAGCACACAGAGACGAAGAAATGAGTACTGCACGTAAGGGGCTTGGAGCGATTTCAGCGAGTGAGGCAACTGCTGGTAAACTCTCAACCTCAGATGGAAAACTTCCAGTCGATTTAAGATACATAACCAATGAAACGACTTTAGCGTTTCTAATAGAGGAGGAAAAGCGAGCCTTAAACGAGCTCGAGGAGCTTGAATTTAAGGTTTGTGACATTATAATTTTTTGCGTAACTATTGTATGTCGTTGAGTCTGGTCGATGTTCTTCATAACTTATGCCGTTTTCCTAATTTTTAGATCACAGATCACAGCCGGGGAGGGCGGGGGGAGGGGAGACGACGGAGGGGCATTAGTCGTGGCCAACAGAGTATAGAGGAAGCACTGGAGAATATTGACTGCCAATTTACTGCCAATGAGGAGAGGAGGGGAGGGGAGGGGAGGGGACGGGGAATGAATCCTAAGAATATCTTATGGGGGATCAGGTAGATTTTATCGTGACGCAAAAAAAAAAAACATGCTCCAATCCCCATCCTCTCCTCCCCCCTTCACATAAATAATGACCGGTTCCTAAGAGCAGCGGGGAAAAAAGCGTGTTGATTTGAGTGTCGGGTTCGGTACATCCGCCGTGAATTTTGTGTTTCAGTCCCTTCATCCATTTTTTTCTTAAATAAGTATGATAATAGAGAACGTTTGTGGCACATCCCTGATGAGTTTAGTCTGCCAGATATTTATTTATTTTTATTTTTTTTCTGCAGGATCTCTCATTTCCCTCTCCACTGGAGTCGGCTTTGATAATGGGACACCTTTGCGCATGTTCAGATGGTCTTCCTATTTATGGCGTTGACCTTCGTGAACTGGGAATTCGTGTTGTTCAATGGGCTCAAAGATTTGCACAGACTTGTACTGATCTTAAGGCAATTAGGCGGATTGATAGGATGCACAACTCAAACAGCAAGATTATGTGATATTATAAGGCCGATGAAAATAAAAAACTGAAGGATGCTTCCGACCACTGGTGTAGGTGGCAGATGAGATACAAATTGTGCACGTGTTAAACTGCTGACTAAGGCAAAATAAGGAAATTTAAACCTCTACGCTTCAGAAGAAAATTGTGCCAATGACTAAGGAGCATTTATTACGCTTTATGTTGCATTTTGCTAAGTACAAGCATTTCTAAGAGAATTTCAGATGTACAACAAATATAATCTGAATTTTTCTAGCTGTTGTGTGAATTGTATGTGATGAGATTCAAGTCTGGTTTATGACACTCGTCGGCATGTTTTGACGAGAATAAAGTACGTTATGGTGAATTGAATTGAATTGTTAGTCTGGCCCGAACAAAGTACTTTATGGTTAATTTAATTGAACCTTGAGGCTGAGAGGTGAAAATATTTTGCACGGTTGTTATGGGCAGGTGGGTAACTAGGTGACTCTTGAATCCGTGTCCAACATCGTAGCGTGTCATCCGAGTACAAGAAGGATTATTCAGTTTGATCCTGTTGCTATCATGGATTAAGTCAACGCTGGGTTTTGATTATACCCTCGACCTTTTCAAACTTAAATAATATCATCTGTTTAGAAAATGTCGAGAATTTGAATACACACCAGCTTAGGAACCTTGTAACCCATTTCGAACATATTAAATCCCTTTATGGGAGAAAAATTGTTTTCTTTGTTAAGATTTGCGCCTCAACGTCAGCCTGTGATTTGCTTTTTGTTGTTTTGTTTTTATTTTGTAATCTGTATGTAGACAAAGTATTTCATCGTAGCAACTCAGAAAATTATTAAGTTTAAACCGAAGAAATCAGCGCAAGGATCTTTACTTTTGTCATGACAAATAAAAAATTAAAATAAAAGGAAAAACACGATTATGTACGCGACGTGAAAATTGGGTAGCCTAGGTGCGTTGCTTTCAAATAGGATATTTTTATTTGAACGTGTTCTGTGGTTTGGATAATGAAATTTGTTTTCCGGTAAATAATGGCACGGATATTGTTTGATTTACATGATTTATATCTTAATGGGTTTTTGTCTTATCTTCAATCTCTACATGACTCCCCGCTAATTGTTTGGTGTATTCCTTCGACAAACAAGATAATTCTGATTTACAACTCAGATATTTCCCATTAGGAGACTTTGGAAAGTGGGGAAGGAAGAGATAACTTTGTGATAGGCCTAATAATTGTTACCTGAAATATTATCTTAGGTATCTTAGGTTCTATTTTGGAGTAATCGCAGTTAATCTGATAAGGGAATTGGCAAAATTGGCTCAAGGAGTGCATCTACGTGCGTTTGTGATACGATATCCTTTCTAGATTTACGTGTACGAAGCACGCAATGAAAATAACTCCGAATTATTCCACTATTTCTTGTTATGAAGTTTAACGGGACACCATCGTAATGAATGGCTAATTCGTTTTCCTCTGAGTTTTCAAGCATCGTAATTTATTTTATCGCGTGGTGAGGGAAACAAACCTCTCTGATCGGTCTTCTTATAGTGCTGATGAATGAGATAAATTGATTAGTCTTGACAGAATAAACTAAATCAGATTTATTTTGTGACGCACAGAAAAGCTTTACTAAAGTAACAAATTCCCTCAGCATGAACGTAGGGCGTTAAATGTTTTAAAAACTTATCTTCAAGAGGTCTAATCTGATATCAAAGAAAATTGGAGGATAAATTCTTATGCAAAACGTGTCTTGTGTTGTTTTTTTTTTTCCTAACCTATTTCAAAAGTCCTCGTATCAATTGTTCCGAGAGTCGGCAAAACAGGGTGATATTTTTAAACAAGAGGAAAGTAATCCGACGTTGCTTTTTATAGGATGGTAAATCTTACCCAGTCTCAGAACTATGCAGTTGTCTTGTTAATTGTCAAAGGTAAATGAATAAAGGGGTAAGTTTCTAAAGAAACTGTGGTGCTGCGTCGGTGGGAGAGTATAACAGGGTAATTTAGTATTATCAACTAAGTTGATAACGTAAATTGGCCACCGTAAAGAGTTTCAAAGCTGAAGTTTCAAGCGTTAGCCCTTCGTTAGAAGGAAAATATTGTCGCGGGTAGTTTCGGAGACGGAGGGTGTTGCAATCTAGGCATAGGAGGAAAACCTTAGCACCTTTCCCATTTCGAATTATTCTATTGAGACTTCAAAATCGATACGTTCGTTCAATTTTATGTCGTTATTCACAGTTTCTATCGCCTGAAAGATTTTCCTTAAAATCTTCGATGTTGTTCATCTTGACTACCGTCCCTCCACTTGTGTTTGTTTTGTTTTGCTCTTTCTTTCTGTTTTGGAAGCGAACCCTCCGTTGTGATTTTTTTTCAAAATTACACGCACTATTGTAACTAAAATGCTTTCGTCATAATTTTCGAAGGCAACAGCTTACAATGTTTTGTACTTTTGTTGCCAAATCGATAGGTGCGCCATTGTCCTTATATTGGGAATTTTATGGTAACTGTGTTGATTGTTTAGGTTCTTGTATTTGGAAAACGTGGTTTGGGTCTTTCACCTGCGGACAGACAGTGGGGCGCCAAGTTTGGGTTTCCCCACACCTAGATGTAAACTATAACCCAACGTTTTAGAAATGAGATATATTTTGTTTGCGCATTTATTGCTCTTCAACATCGAGTATCATGTTCTTAGGTCGCTTCCCTGATGCATGGTTTCTATAATTGTCATAGAATTTCAAGGTTTGGATTTGACTCGTAAACCCTGCTGTTCGATATCAAATGAATAGGAAACAAGGAAAAAGTCGCAGTAATATCTGGTGTGCCACATGCCATAAAGAAGTTTTACTTGAGGAGAAATTTTTCTGAACTGATACGATCGCAGGTCAACAAAACCTCTTTAGTGTATCACCCGACATGTAGTTGGGCCATGTAAATTATTTCTAACCGGGTATTCACGAAGAAGAAAACCAATTTTTTTTTTACATTCATAGCAATTTTAATTTAAGCATAACGATGAATTTTAATGATAACGATGAATTTAAGCATAACGATGAATTTTATTTGCTCAGGAAAGACTTGAAATTAGTCAAATTGCCCCAAGCGTTTTACCTTTCGGGGCCATTCTCTACACTAATGACTCTTTAAGTGACAGTTGGCAATTCAAATCCACTTGTGGTTATTTCTATCTTCGTCCAGATATGCTCCGCAGGCAATGACCGAATCTTCTTCTTCCTCTCTCGACCTCAATTAAAAAATATCGTCATTCTTGAAGAGAACTGTAATTTTCCGGAAATTGCGAAAAGGGAAAACGAAGAACACGATAAGGAGTCAACAATTTTTTTTTCTTCCTTGCGAAATTGACTTTCCCTTGGAGAACCGGTGGTCCTCGAGAGTTTTTTTTTTCTGTTATTAGACACATGCTGAAAGGCTTTACTGTTACTCAGACAAAGGCTAACAACATTGTATGCAAATGTGACTTTCAATGCCTAATTTTTAAGCTTAGCCTTCGGCAAAGATTCTACTTATTTATGCTTGCCTCAGTATCCGTCTCCGGACTGGAGTAAAACTCCATTGCCGTGGAAAAATCTCCTTTCCTCTGATGATAAGCCGAATTATCTTCTGTCAACAAAGCTAACTTTAGTAAGTGTAGACAAATTTTCATCGGTCTTTACCAGAAAGGTTTTTTTTTCCTGATACTTAAGTTACGACACCTGTCATAACAACCAGAATACACGCGAAACCGAAAATAAAAAGTTGAGAAGATACTCGCCCGTAATAGAAACATTACCTGGCAGCGATTTTTTTTTCACTAAAAAGGGGTATACAGTATCGAATAACCTGCAAAGGTTTTGCTCCCATTTTTATTTGAGTGTGTGATCGACAAACTCCTTGCTTGGCATGAATAGCCGACGAACAACAGTCACGAAGAACTACTCATCTCCCGATGACTATAGTTCCTGTTAGTTCTTTTCCGACACATAAGTATATCTTTGAAACTCTGTCTGAATTTTTTGTTCATCACGCCATAAATAATTGGATTGCACCCGCTGTTCAACATAGCCAGCCATGTTGTAGTCGCAAAGAAAGCATCAGGCCAATTGCAGCTTGGAAAAAGTAAACAAATCATTCCAATAAAGTGAGGTGCCCAGCAAAAAAAGAAGGTGCCCATCACTATTAGAAGCGTTTTCGCGGCCCGTGTTTCTCTGTTAAACTTCTCCTTTGCCTCCCTTTCTTTGGCTTTATCCGCAGCTGAAGACGGAGGATCCGAAACTTTTCCCTTTTCAGTTCCAAAAGCCACCGGTACAGCCACCATCGTTTGCAGTGTCTCATCTTTAAGTTCTCCGACACGTGGAACAATTGTCTTGGATTGCCTTCTCGCCGCACGAAGAATATGATAATAGCAATAAGCCATCACCATAAATGGAGCAAAAAAACTCGACGCAAAGATAAATAAGGTGTAAGGGATGTCTAACCCCCAGTTTGCAGTGCAGATCGACTCGTTTGCAATGTAGATGTACGTGGACCAGCCAAAAACGGGCAAAAAGGAGAGAATGATTGCGTGGAACCAAACATATGATATCATACAGAAGGCAAGGCGGGAGGTCATTATCAAAGGATACTGAAGTGGCTTGATGATTGCAACGTATCGGTCAATGGATACTGCTGCAAGGGAGAGCATTGAAGCGATGCAAAAGATAGAGTTGAACATTCCGTTTATGGTGCACCATACTTTCCCGAAAACCCAGTCGTACGTGATGGACGAAGCCATGGTGAATGGCATTCCCAGAAGGGCCAGAAGAAAGTCCGCCATAGCAAGATTTGCTATGAACACACTGGTGATGCTTCGAAGGCTGATATTTCGATACATGGCGAGCACAATAAGTGTGTTGCCCACCAGGGAAGAAAGAATTATGATGAGCATGAAGGCAGCCTGTATGGCGATGGCCACTGGCGAACGCGAGTCCTCAGAAGACATCGCGGCTGCTTTCATACAGCCTGTTGTATTGTTCAACTGATTGTCAAGCATTTAGCGTCAAAATACTGTTGAATAGCTGTCAAACTCAATTCTCTATAGCGATCGATTGATTCAGCGAAAAGTTTACACGATTTTATCTCGGCGCCCCATTCTTCATATTGCTTAGACCATCGCCAAAGCTGTGCACGAATTCCGATTTACCGTCACTAATTTCACAGTGAAACACCTTTGTTATCGATGTTCAAGTTCGTGTTTGTTTTCTCTCTGTTAGGCGAGACTTCCAACCTCGACGAACGGAACCGCGAATGCTCTTAAAACATCCTCGGATTTGCATCAAATATTCTCCAAAAAATTCGGTGATAGGTCGTCTCTATGGTTACACCGTGAGTCGTCCAAATGTTCGCTTCCTTTCTCAGGGTGTTAAATTTGTTTCCTGTAACTTTTACTTCTAAATTAGGGTTTGAAATCCGACACCTATAAGCCCTGCCACATCGATGTCGGAGGCGAAAACCATGTTCACAACAGCGCTGTTACCGATTTGGTTGGCAAGAAGTTCTTCGCACAATGTGATCTCCCACAAGTTTGTATGAGTTGAGCTGTTTGTTTATATCCAACGCCTCCAAACAACTCGACACCTGGACCGATAAAGAACCATTGTAAAAGAAATTTAGCAAAATAGAATTGAATGTCATGAAAATTTCCCAAACGTCATCTTTGTCATTTTTACGTACAGGAAATGAAATTTGACTGAGATATCGGTCTCCCGATTTCTCCGGTCGGTTACACTACACTACTTTGAGTAAACTTGTAAATTAGATATAGTCGTTTCATGGCGTCTAAACGTGGTCTATGAGACATGAAATGCTATTGGGTTGGGTTTATAATTTAGTAATACGGAAAATTTAAATAACTTGAATCCTTCCAATATGTTTGAACCGGACGACATAGGATATGATTAGAATTCGGCACGTTGTCACAGATAAATTTATCTCGATTGGTTGCAAGTTTCACGATCGACTCTGTTTGATCTGAAGGGCTTGAGTAAAAGATTAATTTTGCTTTAAAAGAAATCGAACTTTTTCCGTATCGATCTAATGTTTTATATCTGTTTTAGAGAGCCTTTGTAAACTTGAATAATTATCATCACCTTTTCATAGCTTCAGGGAACAAACTGTGGTCGCGGTTCACCTGGAGCGCCTTTATACAGAGAACTGAGGAATTTTAAAGTGGACAGAGCAGAAGTCATTGGATTTAAATTTCTGTGAGCTAAGAAAGAGGCCTACTTTTGTTTTCGTTTCATCTTTTCCCTTCTCTCTTTTAATTCCGTTCGTGCTCTGTAGCTTAAATATGCAATCTCTGTCAAAGTTGAACATTCACCTGTCAAATTGTGTTGTCTTTCTATTGGCAATGCACATGTTGTGTAATACTCCCAATAAATATTTACAAACGTTTATCGAACCAAAAAATGCATCACATAACGACAGCTTAGCATGTGTCTTTATGAAAGTGTTCACGTTAATGAATAAATATTTTGATCTCAGAGGACGTAAGAGGATCTATTTTTGTAACAAAGTTTGGTTATCTTTTCTACGTCAAGCTTAAAGCAACGTAAGAAATAAAACTACAAGCTCGTCTCATAGTCCAATTGACAGCTCTTATTCGTCCTAAAATCGTCTATCATTTGCGAGCCCAAAGTTCAAATATTTACCAGTCAGGATTTATTAATTTTGTTTTCGTACTAAATCGTGATGGGGGCCAAAATAAACAGTTCGCCTATGGACATGCAGTGATATTCAATGCAGAACTCCAGGTAGTTCCCGAGAAACAATATGCCAGCGAACTATCAGTGTTATACAATGAAAAATTCTTTGTACTCGCTAAGTGTGTTATCGCCTACCTTTGAAAACGCCGAGCAACAGCAAAATACACAACATGCCAAAAAAAAAATTCAAGGCTGTGCTCGAATTGTCCTCGAGTTAGAATACACCAGAACCATAACCCTACGAGGTTGTTAGGAATAGTGAAGCAAACACTTTGCTTTCAATGAATCGCAAAATTTGTTAATGAAGTAGTTTCTTTGTTTGCAGTTATCACATCAATCGTGTAAATATCCGTGCTTTTATTGTTTAGTAAGTATTTTTCATTCTCAGCTTAACCCCTGCAGGTCAAGCAGATTGCCGAGATTACGTCGATGTGGCGATAAGTGTGTGATCTCATTACGGAACTTAGCAACAGATAACTCGTTTTCACAATCTGTGATTAGAATCTGGCTTTTTTATGTTTTTTAATTGATTTTGGGGAAGTTCCACTCATGGATTGCAGGTCAAAGACATCGCAAGGCCACTCCAATTTAAGAAATGAATTAAAAAATGATAGAAGTTGTCAGGATCCAGACATGGCAAGAATCGAATGAAGATTAAAACATTTTGACATAAAATAAAGAATCGAAGGGCAGAATTAACACAGAGCTCAAGAATCCCAAGCTGGTTACGTGAAGATTTACTTTGAAAATATGCAATCCAGAACTTGTTACGCAATGTTCGATTTACGAATCAAATTGTACCCCGATTAGCTTCAAATGTGCAAATAATGAACGATGCCTTCAGACTCGTCTAGTCTACAATTTTTTTACTTTTGTTTGGGTCAAATCAGTGGTCACTTGAAAAATTTTTTTTTTTTTTACGTTTGAAATCGCTTCATATCGTTGCGTTTCCTTTGCAATGAGGATTGACAGATTTGACAACCAACTGTTGTTCGTTTAGGAAATGAGCCTTCACTCCTCTCCGGTTCGGAAGACGAACTCAAGGTGATGGCAGAAACTGTTTAAAGTGAACATCGATGACGTCTTAACTACCTCAAAGATTCATCGAAAAAGGAGACTGTACAGTAGGTAATTCTTTTATACCACGACCACTGCTTATTTCACCATATTTAAGGTGTAAGTGAATTTCCCATAAAATCTCCATTAATCATAAATTGCGTAACAGCAACTCCCAAAATTGGGCAACTTTGTCTAAAATGTTGACAAAACACGACCCTTCCCGTTTAATCTACGTATCAGTGGTTTTGTGTTGCGGATATTTTGCGGCTTTTTGAAACTGTAAACATCCAATGGATGGTTACCCTACGTAACAGATCGTGGGCAAAACGTTTCAGGCGTAAGTCACGATTTGTTTCGTTCACGCACTCAATTTCCTTCTGTTCAATTGTTCTGATTATTTTGATGCCTTTTATCTCGAAAAGTAGTCTCTGATTAAGTGCGCCATAATTATATGATTTAGATGTCTTCCCATTTCAATGAATGCATTTCTGGCAAATTAATATTTCATAACTCATTGACTTTTGATTAAAATAAGTACACAATATCTCGTACGTACTGAAAAATTTTTCGTCAAAAAGGTCTTCGATACTTCAATACAGCATGTGCCGCGGACCTTTTCGCTAATATTTCAAAACTCCACTTATTGAACTCTGGGGTCAAGGTACGAATAACTAATGTTGGTTTGAATCGTGTCATGATTCCAAAATAAATGAAAACAGCTGAACGGATACTTGCTTTTTAGTTAAGTTAACCTGGTCAACAATGTAATCTTTTCAACAACAACTGTAACAAGGTTTCCTTCTGTTTAAACTTTAGATGTTACAATGAAACGACATGAGTTCTGGCGACGACTTAGGAAAAGAGAGAAAATCTGTGTGGGCAGAACTTTACCATACAGGACGTCCATACACCACAGAGGATCATTATAGATATGTTAGATTTGAAATTGAAGTTGACTCCCTGCTGAGTTCCTGATTAATTTTTTCATAATAGCCATTGCTAAAAGGGGTTATACAGAAATGACAAAAATTGAAAGACTTTATGATCGGTGACTATAGTTGTATGTATACGTATCCTTTAAAAGCCGGTTCGAACGAAGGTAATATATATATGGAAAATTTAATCTTATGTAGTAGTTTTCCGATTATCATTTAGTTTCGGTAATATAATTCAAGGCGCCGAAAGTATCTTTTTTTTAATCTAAAACTTTTAATATTTTGCTAGCCTGTTGTGAAATAAATGGTATTTTCGTCACTAACCAACCTTCGATTTTCCTTCTCACGACAAAACATCATCTACATTTTAATAGTTAAGTTAACTAATGACAATGCCAAAACTTGTATTCTTTCGGCATTTACAGAGATGTGCAGTGTGCCGCTTTCAATTCGGGCGAAATATTTAGTAAACAACTCACCCAAGCAAAGTCGGTGTTGGAGTGAAACAGGTTACCTATCCACAACAATGTAAACAGAGTGAAATAACCTGTGAAGTTATGAATTAAAGAGTTTTGATATCTTGTAAAATTGATAAGAAGGCTGTTTCTTTAGGAAGGCTATGGAATGCGTAGAAGACTTTCTTTTGAATTGAAGAAATTTGCGTCAAATGCTAATTGTTCTTCAGTTTTGGGAGTGTTTTCTTAATTCCTCTGTGGATTAGATTTTAGCACTAAGCTTTTTGTTTGTTAAGTGAGTATCTTCGTTTTGAGATGTATGGAAATGACGGACACATATCAAGTAAACCTGGAATATTGAAAATGTCTGCTGTTTGAAGATCATGGAAAGCTTAAATTTTATAATTTATCCTAGTACCCTAGTATTTGGGTGTCCATGTTAAGCTAATCAAAATTTAGCTAATCCTTTTTCCTTCCATGTCCAATCTAATAAGTTAAAGTTTAGCCGTTTGGACGGGTGATTGTACTTGGATGGGTGGCCGTAAAACTCTCCGTGATGTAAAAAAGAAAATGAAAGTGTTATCTTCAATTGCCAGCAACATAAATATCACATTAAACTTCCTGATAGAAAGAATAAATTACAACAGTACTACGGTATTTACCTCGGTGCGAAGGCTACTGTGGCAAAGTGCATCGGTCAGCTTTGGAAGATAGTCGCAAATAAAATTTGAAGCAAAAATGATTTGGCTCATGATATTAAAACTACTGAGAGTGTTTACATTTTGTGGATCCAAAATGGCTTTTTACTGCGTAATTATTTAACAACTGTGTCTAAGCAACAGGTACTATTACCAAAAAATTGGGATCTTAGTAGGATTGTTTCACGACAGCGTAAACGTTCGTTATTATTAGTAACTGAAGAATGAGAAGTTTGGCTATCATTGGTTGTCACTCTTCCCGTACGTTTATGTAAAACAACATATCAAACCTTTGAAAATTAAATTTATTGTGATTTAGAAAACTCATGTCCAAGATAATCAGGAGAAAAGCCGGAAAGAAAGTAATTTTAATCAGGCTTGCGTGCTTAATTCCTGACTGCTTTTAATTTGCAAGGCCTAGACAATACAGCAAACGTTTATCATTTATTTCAAAAAATGATAAATTGTTTGTCGTCGATTAAAAGAGCGAAAAGCCGGCGTTTTCTAATTAATCCTCGAAAGACCGTAAGAGATAAGTTCCGTTTTCGTGGGAAAATGTATCTGGGTTTTTGTAAAGAATTTAAGTTGCTCTTTCATTTGTTTCGATGTTGTATAGGTTAGATTACCAACCGCTGTTCAGAAATGAGCCCGCACTCTTACCTCAGCAAAGGTAAAGAACGAACACAAGAGAACGAACGAAAGTGTGCCTGGCCGTTGTATATACCGTAACTTAGAATTTTTGCGGTGTAAAGCACCACTGATATGTAAAGGCTGAAACGTTACTTGTTGCCATACTCAAGCACCAGCACTCTAATTGATCAGCGAGTCACTTCATTTAAAGGTTTAATAAATTAAGCTGACTGTTC